GTGAGATCCCACATTGGTTGGAGAAGGGAACTAAGCATTCTTTATAAGGGTGTGGAAACCTTTCTCTAACAGACGCATTTTAAAACTGTGAGGCTGACGGTGAAAAGGAGATTTTTAGCCGGCTCTTTTGTGTAGTTTTTGGGAGGGAGTTCTCTCTACCCGTAGCCGTTCTTGGTTCTTTTTGAACACCATTCATATTATTTCTTGTTTTTGTCCTTTTGATTGGCGTGACGTGGTTGCAGGCTAGAAAAGATCTTCTCCCGACAGCCAAAAAGACGACCTATGGAAGATTCGAAGAAGAATGATGAGGCTACCCCTGATGTTGATCAAGATGACCTACATGTCGAACGAATTCGTCTGGAGAATATGGAACTAAGGTTGTGCATAGTTTCTTACGACTCGTGTATGACTCAGTTGGTTCATGCTTTTGTTTCCTTTTCCTTCGACATATTTAGATCTAGACTGACATGTTCCAGACCGCCATTAAAGTGTTAGCCTCCCAAACTGGCTATTCTCATTGAAGAAATGAGTCTCGAACTTGTTCCCTCTAATGTTTTATCGACCCATTAGGCCATTGAATGTCGTAGATGTGGTATGAGAGTTTCTTCTCATCCAGCCGCTTTACTTACCTTGTTCAATCTAGTGAAGGAGCGAAGCCGAGGTTCAGGTTTTCGGTAGGAGTGAAGGAGAATTCATTGAGTCTTTCCTTCGTGTTCAGTCGAATTAATCTTTCGTTTCGTCTTTCCTTCTGAATTACCCCGTGAAATCAGGTTCAGGTTTTCGGTTGTGTCTTTGTTTACAGTAGAATGTAGAAGTGCATTCCATTATCCATTATTATTGGTTGTACATATACTTTTTGACAAGGAAACATATATTTCTATTCGATAAAACGAAGTTCAGAAGATTAACTCTCTAAATTTTTCGTCTTTACAGCGTTCGGAATATGCTGGGCAAGACTACTATTCAAGAACCTACCTTCGATAGGATTATTGTAGTTTACAGGTACTGCTCTATTGCTTGGAACTAATCGTGCACCATTCTTTTTTGAACTTCCATTTTAAATCGAGTAGGATTTGATTACCGTGTTTATCTTCGTTTGGCTAAATGAGTTGGAAGTCTTGGTTCAAAACGAGACGGGTCCATTTAAGTACATTTTGGAGTTTGTGGTCTTTATTGACCGGAAGGGTATATATCGATGATTTATCCTTACCATCATTGCTATGCTGTTTATTATCCGTGCGTATTGGTGAAGGAATGACCTTGCGAGTTAGTATCCAAGCTAAGAATGAATGATATCTATTACTCCGTCAAGGTTGGACTCCAATCCCGAATGGAAGAATAGGATGGTATCTTAAGAAAAAGCCGCTACAGAAAGTGCATAGTCGTAGATGCTCTGATCTACTAGTCGTCTTCAAATACCTTGTCCTTGAGGTTTTTGAATCGGTCAGGAATGTAGCGTGACAACGAGCAAAATAGGATGAACTCTAGGCATGTTCTTCTATAAGACCTCGAAAAATTGCTTCAAGGAATTACCATTGCAAGTGATGGAGTTCTTTCGAACATTAATCAGTTCTCCAAGAGGAGTGAGCACAAGAGAGACAGGTAACAGCCATAGAAGTGCTCCAAAAGGAGTGAGCACAAAGAGAGGCAAGCAACGCCCGTGGAAGTGTTCCAAGAGGTGTGAGCACGAGATAGACAAACAATGTCATTGGAAATGCTCCAAAGGGAGTGAGCACGAGAGAGACAAGTAATGCCCATCGAAGTGCTCCAAAAGGAGTAAGCACGAGAGAGACAAACGCTAGTGAATGTGCTCTAAGGGGAGTGAGCATGAGAGAGACAAGCAACGTTCGTGGAAGGGCTCTAAGGGGATAGTATGTGCTTACTGTTGTGTTAGTATCTAAGCCGAGAATGAATGATATCTATTACTCTGTTTTTTCAATTATTCTGAACTATAGTTCGTTGACATGTAAAAGGAATGGTAATTCTTCAGGCGAGCAAGCACAAAGTCCAACCCCGATCGTGGAATATACGTCAAGCATTTTAAAAACATTCCGATGGCCGATATGGAAATAGTACTTGTAAGTTCATTTTCTCCATTTTAGTAATCATTCTCCTTAGCTCCTTGAACCGTTCGGGTGATAAGATTGATTACAAACTTCTTGTGACAGCCCGAGAAGAAAAGTCCGGGATTGACTCCAATGGACTGGGTTACGTTCCTCGTATCTGCTATAGTCGGGCTGGTTAGTTTTAAGAATGTTTACGTAATGCACTTAATATTTCGTTTACGTGTTCTTATCGTTTATATATTTTAGGTTGCTGTAGTGGGTTCGATCGAAATGCCAAAGGCGGATTTTTGGGTCATTTTCGCCGTTCTCTCTACGGTTATCGGTTACTGTGCGAAGACCTATTTCTCGTTAAGTACCTTTCTCTGTTAGATGCGTATTCGTATTGTCTTGATTTCTCTAATGCTTGTAATAGTCTGTGGCCATTCTTTTTAATCCTCTAGGTTTCAGCAAAATTTGGCTACATATCAGAACTTAATCACACAATCGATGTACGACAAACAGCTCGATAGCGGAAGGGGCACGCTTCTTCATCTGTGTGATGATGTGATCCAACAGGAAGTATGTATATTATGACGTTCTTGTCGGTCGAATCTGAATATCATTTAAAGACGTTAATTTTTCATGGTTGTTCGTAATTGAATCGTTGAAGGATATGTTTAGTGGTCGTTTTGCTAGTAGCTTTCATGCTTTTGTGAGGAATATTTTCCCGTACCGCTTTGTACGGTTTGACCGTTCTGTTTGCCTGCTCACTGGTTTAGCTTCTGTTTGCATGTGCATCTGAATTTGGGGCGTATACGCATGTTGATCAAGCTTTTACTTCGGTACTTAACGAAATTTTATAGCTAATTAAGCTTAGTTGTTTTCTTGGGTATGCCGGTGGTATGTCGACTGTCGATGTTTTGCTCGTGCTCTTTCCACATGTTGAGTTTCTCTGTCGTTTACGACGCGAACGGTTAATCGATACTTATAATGCCTTTTTTTCCCCTTGATGTTGTGAAGGTCAAAGAAGTGATCATTTCATTCTTTATACTGATGGAACAAGGCAAATCTACTTTAGCAGTATTGATCTTCTATCTCAACTTTATGTTCTTGCTCTTTTTTTGAATCGAAAGCTCGATGCCGATTATCTGAAATTTTACGGTGAAATGTGATTAGGATCTTGATCTACGGTGTGAGGAGTTGATCAAAGAAGAGTTCGGTGAGCGTTGCAACTTCGAAGTGGACGATGCAGTTCAAAAGTTAGAGAAATTGGGAATTGTTTCACGGGTTAGTCTAAGCGTTTTTCTTACTGAAATCGAAGTATGACAACACGTGCATATACACACACACACACATACGTACGACTGCTGACTTTTTGGTTTATATAAGTTGATGGTGCACGGTATACTCATGTGATTCGTTCTTCGTCGACTTTGATTTAGGATACCATTGGACGTTATTTCTGCGTTGGATTAAAACGTGCGAACGAGATCATTGGAGCGACGACAGAGGAGCTCGTCCTGAAAGCGAGGCAGGGTCTTAATCCTTGAAGTGAAAATGGTGCTTAGAAAATCATCCATTTCTGTAGCTTAGTGATGCTTGCTCTTGTAGTTTTGTTCTTGTATTTACCATAGAAATGCTATTCTTTGATGCGTTTCCAAGCTTGATTTGGGTATGGTAAATGATACCAATAATATACACTTCAAAGGCTGCTTTTGTATTAGTTTGGATCAGAGATGGTTACCGAAAGACTCACGTCGGTTGGAGAGGGGAACGAAACGTTTCTTATAAGGGTGTGGAAACCTCTCTCTAGTAGACGCGTTTTAAAATTGTGAGGCTGACGACGATACGTAAGAGGCTAAAGCGATAATATCTGCTAGCGGTGGGTTTGAGCTGTTACAAATGGTATCAGAGCCGGACACTGGATGATGTGTCAATGAGGACGCTGGCCTCTTGGATAACCATTTAGATGCTAGATTGATAACTACGATAACGTAGAGGGCCAAAATAGATAATATATGCTAGTAGTGGGTTTGGGCTGTTACAAATAGTATCAGAGCCAGACACTAAATGGTGTGTCAATGAGGATGCTGGCCTCCTGGATAACCATTTAGATGCTAGATTGATAACTATGATACGTAAAGGGCCAAAACAGATAATATTTGCTAGCGGTGGGTTTGAGCTGTTACAAATGGTATCAAAGCTGGACACTAGATGGTGTGTCAATGAGGATGTTGCCTCTTGGATAACCATTTAGATGCTAGATTGATAACTACGTAAAGGGCCAAAGCAGGTAATATCTGTGAGTGATGGGTTTGAGCTGTTACAAATGGTATTAGAGCTGGACACTGGACGGTGTGTCAATGAGAACGCTGACCTATAACTATTTGATTGGTAGAGATTCGATTAATAGTTTAATTATTAATTTAACTTCGATTTTGGATTGAATTAAAAAAAAATTAAATGAATTTTTTTTTACTCAATTAAGTGTAAATAATTTATTATCTTTAAAATAAAATATTCACAAATCATAATTACAATATAAAATATAAATAAGGTAGGTTTAGTCGAACAATGGCCATTGGGCCACCGAGCTACGAACAGACCAGACCAAAATATGTGTTCGCCGGCCGCGCAATCCATAAACCTATTTTGGAATGAAGATACTTCGGACAGGGATGAGTAGAATACTCAATTCGAGCTTGGCATCTTCTGCATTTTGACGATCTTTTGGTATTACAACCTCTTGATTACTGTTCCTCCTTTTTTTCAGAATTATTCGTTCTTTTTTTTTGTTCTAGATTCAATTTTATGCAGCATTTGTATTCATTATTCGATCCTATACACCGTGATACTGTTCCAGGTCCTGTGGCTATACGATTTGCTAGTTTTACCATTCAATGGTTTCTTATTCACGAATCCTTCGATTTAATTTTGGTAATCTGTCTGTCGTTGCTCGAGAATTTTTTATTGATTTGGTTGAAAGTTCAGATGATCGTGGTGACTACGTTCGATAATTTTTGCTGTTATAGAGAGGTTCCAGCCCTAGCTGTATTTGTAGGAAGACGTATTCTGTTTTGACCTAATTTTTCTACTCAATTATTTCTCCAATAATTGGATTTCTTCAGGTGATGGAGAAGAACAATTTTAAATGAACAACAGATGAGGAAATGGCGGTTGCACTTTCTGCATTATACCGTCTGAATCTTCCCTATCTCCATGGATGCGTCCGAGGTGCTAAACTACCTAATACTTCAAAGAAACATAACTAAATAGCTACTGAAACATCAAGAGCAAACTTGTTTATTCCATTGTTCTGTTTTGACTCATGAAGCTTGACAAGAAGCTTTTGACGAAATACTTGATGGAGAATCCTCATGACAATCTTCCATATTTTGCTGATGAGGTACCAAACCTTCTTAGTCTTTATTAGTTTAATACAAGAGGTGATCCGGAAATGAGGCTATGGCTAATTGCTTAATTCCATTGACCCATTTCTTTGGAGTATGCTTTTCTTCTGTTACAAATTGGCACAAGGCATATTAAGAAACGTAGCTTGAGAAAATGATGGCTTTAGCTCCCATACTTCAGCACTTCGTTCAACAACTAGTCATATCACGTTCTTCTTTTGTAAACTATATGTTCATTGTGATTTGCAGGAGGACAAGGATGCTAGTAATGAGCGTATCCATTCACATCATCATCATCGTCGATCATTAAAAGTAATTATAGATATACAAAAATTCATCCGTTAAACTCCTTTCGATATATTATTACAGATACAAGTCTAGTACAGATGTAGCATCGATATATTATTACAGATACAAATCTAGTACAGATGTAGCATTGATTGTAGCATAGGTTAGCTTGCTTTGGAGCTTCGAGTCCTCATTCTTGATGTTATGTATGGTGTTCGTTACTCGTGGCTTACATTCCCATGTCTCTCAAAACTTACTCACGTCTCTCGAAACTTACAGTAGGTCAAAACTTACAGTAAAGGAGGTGACCCATTTGTTTGGAGTATGCTTTTCTTTTGTTATAAATTAGCATAGGGCATATTAAGAAACGTAGCTTGAGAAAATGATGGCTTTAGCTCCCATTCACCAACCAGTCATATCACATTCTTCTTTTGTAAACTATATGTTCGTTGTGATTTACAGTAGGACAAGGATGCTAGTAATGAATGTATCTATTCACATCACCATCATCATCGATCATTGAAAGTAAGTATAGATATACAAAAGATTATCCTTCGAACTCATTTTGACATTATTACAAATATAAATCCAGTATACATATTGCATTGATTGTATAGCATAGGTTAGCTTGCATTGTAACTTCTGGCCCTCATTCTCAATGCTATTTATGGTGTTCGTTACTCGTGGCTTACATTCCCACATCTCTCAAAACTTTCAGGTAAAGGAGGTGATTAATTTCCTTCTATATATTGATGAAGCAGGGGAAGGCTACAAAACAGCTGCTTACACAAAACCTTATTCCTTTTTCGACTCGCGAATGCTTATATTCCTGACTCACAGAGGCGATCATGAATCACGAATGAATAAGCCATTGTTGATTGATATTCATATTCATTAATATCTCTTCCAATGCCTTCCCTGACTTGGCCAAGAATCAAACACAGGGTGCGGATGGGGCATATTCCTGTGAAGATTTGAGGAGTGCCAAATAAGATCATGGGCATAACCCCAGAGGAGATAGCACCATCTAATGTCTCACATTAACTGGAGGTATTATCTTCTCTCCATTTTCAACAAGGAAACCAATATTCTAAGATTAACTTATTAGTTAGTTTGTTCTAGTTCTCTACATTCATCCCATTAAACCCAGATCACGACGTTGCACGGTTGAAAAAGTAGGACTGTGACACCCAGATACCCATATAACTCGATTAAGAAATGCTATCAACTTTCCAGCTAAAGTGAACTGTAATAGTTACAGAAGGTATGAATTCATTGAGTTTATTAACAGTAAACTAAACATGTTAGAGACAGGTTGAATGTCAGTATGGGAACAAAACAATAATACAAGAATTATAAAGTCCCCTGATTTAGTTAAATGTGACTATTGGGAATGAGAAGACTCAGCTTTAGATTGATGATGTAAAATCTCTTGGAGTAGTAGAGATCTTGACTGGTTGACAGTGATCAAACAAGTTGTTATCTTTTCCTCAAGAAGATCAAGGTAATGCCTCAAATTCTGTTGGTTCATCTCCAAATGTTTGAGTACTTCCTGAGCTGTGTTATTATCATTCATTATGCCCAAACCCATCTGAATGAAACGCTTGTCGCCCTCCACGGCGTTATGCAAACGCCTAACGAGGCTATCAAGCGTGTCAAGGTCAGTCTTTAGGATATAGGTATTCCTAGATGCAACTTTGATCTGAGCTGCATACGCCAATTCTCTCCTGGCAAACCTAGAAGGAATATAGGCGGTGATGGCATCGCCGCTGCAGCAGACGGTGGGAGGGCGAACAAAGCGAATCCTGGAACTGGATTTGTTAAGGCGGCGTTCCAGTTGCCGATTGAGAACGCCGAAGAGGTCACGGATTTGGTCTAAGGTCGGTGAGTCAGGGCCGGGGAAAGGATTGTGTTCCTTATCGAATTTACAGAATTCTTGGAAGACGAGGTCACAGTGGGACTGTGGAAGTTGGTCGATAAGGTTTTGGATTGGCCGATACAATCTCCGGGCTTCGGCGATGCAGCGGCGGAGGGAGAGGCAGAATCTGGTGGTTTTCTCGCTGTTATCGAAGTAAGAAGATACGAGTTCAGAAAGGGATTTGGATTTAGATCGGTGAAGAACCTTGTGGACGTGATCTCGATCAGGGCGAAGCACCTGAGCGAGCACCAGGTGGTCTTGATCGGCGACCACAAGGTCCATGGAGCTGGTGATTCTCGACATCTCCTTGTAGGAATCGGCATGGAGGACATTGATGGTGTATATGCGAGAGAGATTGGTAGATCTAGGTGAGGCATCCATGGGAGTCTGTCTCTGAATGGCTGTTGTGATGAACAGTTAGAACGCAGAAATGGAATGGAGGAAATTTCAGAGTTTGAATGCAAAACGAAGGGATTTCAACATTTTTTTTTTTCTGTTCGCGAATTTCTCAGTAATGGCGGAACGGAAAGTAATGGAAGCTGAATCGTAGCAGGAAGGAAGAAGGAAAGAAGGGGTTTTATCTGTTCGGTGATGACGTGGATACTGATGACGTGGACAATTGTCTTACAATTTGTTTGACCTCCCCCCATTCACTTGCTCGGGAAGTTTCTTGCGGCTGAAGGTGGGTTCTCGGACGCGTAAGCAATAAGGTACACAATTATATATATATATATATATAGTTTTTTTTTTTTTTTTTTTTTTTTT